TGAGTTATTATCTCTATATGTTGATTTTAAAAATCTTGTAACAGTAAATATGTGCAATAAATGATTTTCTTTATGATAAATAAATTTACTTAAATCAAGAGCTCCATTGATTGTTTTTATAATTTTTACCAATCTTCAGTTTCTGTATCTGAAAGTAGTGTGATATTCTTACTGAACTAGTGTAACTCACCCTTTCATTAACTATTTTAGATCAAGAGGACCAATACCCAGATCCCGATTAGCAAGAGCGTTGTAAACAGTTCACCACTTGGACTCCTTCAAAAGCTAGTGAAGGTCGTCTTAAGATACTCAGTTATTTGCCTCTTGTTCATTTCTTTGATTTTTATTTATTCATTTAGAAGAAACATTCCCGTAATCCTATTGGGTATTTTAAATTATTGTGTAAGGAATGTAAACCCTAACTCTATTATTTCGCTTCCGCATTCAATTCATATCTTTATTTCATTTTAAGTTCCGGACCTTTACACACAAGCTATTGATTGTATTGTTTTAGACTTGAAGTGTGTCTACCCAAACATGCCAATTGCAAAAGAGCGAGTCCACAATCACATTAAAAATTTAAAAATGCAGTCCTCAAAATGGTATAACGTTTTAAACGTGGGCTGAGTGGATTTATATGGAATTTGTCAACTGAAAAATTTGAAGTTAAAGAGAGGTTTGGCAACAACTATTAGAGGTAAATCAAAAAGTAAATCATATATTATTTGTAATACTTTATATAGTTTAATCATATTTTATAATAGGCTAATCTAGAAGCAGTTGAACTTAAGAACAAAGGGGTTCGAAATTACGACAAAATGTTGAAAATGTTTGGAAGAGATAGAGCTAACAGAGTTGGTAGCGACACAGTATGCACCACTTGAAGACAAAAGAATATAAATATTAATACAAATGCAGCGGGAGTTGAGGATGTGATAAATATGGGTCCCGAAAATGTCAGTGTTAATATCAACGTCAATGGTGAGGAATCTTTTTATGATCGTCAAATGCCTCAAACTTCTACTTCACAATCCGAAGGTGAAACTCCAAGTTGTTCAAGACCGAGTAAATCAAGACTTTTGGGTACTATCCAGAAAATGATTATCTACTTGAGAAAATTGGAATGATTGCTGATGCACTCAATAATATGGAATCAATAAAATATATTTCATCGATTCAGCTTGTAACACCCAACATTTAATTATTTTTATTTTTATTTAATTATTATTATTTTTATATAAATATAATTATTATTTATATGATTTTAATTTATTTTATTTTATTTTAATTTGATTTAATGAAAATAATAATAATAATAATAATAATAATAAAAGGGTAAAAAATTGGTTAGGGATTTAATTGAAAACAATTTTGAGAAAGAATAGTGAAAATTTGAGTTTTTAGGGTATTTTTGAAAGAAAAATCAGAAATCAGGGGTCAAAACGTAATTTAAAAAAGTTACACCACGTCAGCTGTCCGGTCAGCAGCCCCGACCAACCAGGACGCGTAAGATGGCAGAGGCGCTGACGCGGGAGGCCACGTGGGCGATCCGCGTACGCGCGATCGAACGGCTGAGATCCGTTCCCGTGCGCACGGACAGCTCAGATAAAAAATGCGCACGGATGGCCCAGATTGTATCGCGCACGGATGGTCCAGATTGAATCACGCATGGAAGGCTCAGATTGAATCACGATGAAAGGCCCAGATTAACTCCTATTTAATCGCGATCGGACGGTCTAGATCAAAAGCGATGGACGGTCCAGATCAAAATTGAATGGGTATAAATATCCCCATCCGCACCCAAACCTTAACCCTAGCTGCCAGAGTCCCTCACCGGAGAAGACAGTCCAGCTACTAGGGAGCCGACCGCTGCCATCCGCCGCCGTACTATAGCAATTTTCGACTAGCAAACGAGGTAAAAATTTCTCCTATTACACAAGATTCAATTTTAAACCCACCCATGGCCAAATCGGAGTGAAAGAACCGGCTGATTAGTGGAAAAATGCCACCGAAGCTCGCAGCACCGCCGTAAGGTGTTTCAGAAAATGGCTCCGATGAGGCCCTTTTCGATTCTCATTCGATGAGATTTTTTCACCGTTTTGACCACCGTTTCCTTATCTACAGGTTTACAGAAGTAAAACACCCAACCGTAACGTGAGCCGGAGGAGCCATCGCACTGGAGAACCCCATTGTCGGTGAGTTTTGATTTTCTGTATTTTTTCAGCCCACCGAGGGTCCTAAGTATGTTTTCTCGCATGAACCGGTGCAAGTTCGGCTGAATTCAGCTGAAAACGGCCCAAAATAACCAATTCGAGGCAAATCATCGTCGCCGGAGCACGGCGAAGCTGTCGTGTCGGAATTTCAAAATTGGCCGAGTAGGCCCTGGGTCTGATTTTTGGGTTTTTTTGGGACACTTGTAAGTATCGTAAGCGCGTTTCAATTTCCAAAAAAAACTTCAGGAAACCTAGGGACCGCCCGTAGGAGCAGTAATCATCTAGTTTTTGGCGTTGAATCAAGTAAGGACCCCTCACCCTATTTTCTATCATAGATGTGAAGTTTAAATAAATAATAATACGGTCCTTTGTACAAGTTAGAGAAATATGCATAATTAATTACAGATTGCTAATGGAACCCAAAATCGGACATTATTTTCTGTCAATTCTTGTTGATTTATTTTACAGTTTAAATGGATGATGGTATCTGGTTTATCTATTCTATGGTTTTAAATGAATATATTATTGTATTACTTGACCACTGTGTGGTTTTGGGATTTGGTAACGGAGATTAAAGATAAACAGATAAGGTGACAGCCTCACTAGATATCCTAAGAGATGGTGGACGGACCGGGTTCATAGAGAACCCTACCGTGAATGTTGTCTCATACCGGACGGGGTATGGAGACTTGATAATTGACGCTCATACCGGACGGGGTATGGGGACGACCCGCTTTACCCTCATACCGGACGGGGTATTGAGGTTTAATGTCTCGGCACTCATACTGAACGGGGTATGGGGTTGGCTATGTAATTAAGACTGTTAAGAAAAAGGGTTCACGTGTAGCGGAGACACCCCTATGGATCCCCATGGATACTAGTAGGTTGGTGAAACGAGAAACAGTGAAAATTAGTTATTGTTAATGAATATGAATTTATAATATGTTCTATGTTACTGATTATGCATGAAATTGTGATCCGTATGATATTATTGCTTCTATAATTTATTTTTATAAATTCTCCAATGGTAAGAGAAATGATAAATTGTTTTATTTTAAATAAATGTATTGGTTTAAATTAGTAGCTCCATTGGTTGTTTTTGGTTTTCTATAAATCTTTACTTCTATGACGGCGATATAGTGTGATGTCTTTACTAGGCTAGTGTAGCTCACCCCTTATTTAACCATTTCAGATAAGGAAGACCCGATTCTCGAGGCCGATCCACAAGAAGGTTACGAGTAGATGGTAGATATTTTATAGTTTTCTTTATTTTTTTTTTCATATTTTGTATTTCTTTCAGAAAATTTGTTCTGTGATGTTTGTTAGTACTTTTGAGTTATCGTGTAAGGGATGTTAACCTTAAATATTATTTCACTTCTGTACTCAAATTATTATATACATTTCTTTTTAAATTTTTGGGGTCGTTACACAGCTGTACAAAGAGATTGATCGTTTGAGTCTCACAGAAGATCAAAAATCATAAACTTATAATTATCTTTTGAAAGAATCAAACATAACGTCTGATTTCTTGACTTGTCCTCCTAAAGATCGCAAGAATCTCCTAAAGAATTTACTTCCAAAATTAGGTAATGATATATGTTAAAACTCAAGTTCGTTTATAAAAACTTGTTATTTTGTAATTTTTGTTTTTTAATTAATTTTCACTTTTTTATATATTTGAAAACGGAAGATGTTGTTATGGAAGTGCAAAACCTGAGTTTAGATGTAGGAATGTTGCAGAATTTATGTTGCATGATGTATCATGTTTTTTTTTTTTTTATGGTTGGTCAGAATTTATGTAAACACCACTACTTATTTATTTTATTACGATGGTCTAATTTGTATTTTAATTTATGTTAGACTAATTTGTATTTAGGAATGAATGATGACATTATAAAATGTTCATATTTTGATTAGTTGAACTAGTGTTGTGTTTTTAAAGCTCTTATATTTATGAAACTATGTATTTTTTTTTTAAATTTTCAGACAATGCAATTTATTTATTTTATTGTATATGTGTTTATATATTTAATTATATATATTATATTATATATATACATAAATTTATATATGTGTTTATATATTTAATTATATATATATTTTATATAAAACATATATTTATATATTTAATTAAATTTATGTACTTATATTTTTAATTATATATTTAACTATATATATATTATATTATATCAATTTTATTGTATCTCTATATATTTATATATTTAAGTATATATATATATTATATTTAAACATGTATTTATATATTCAATTAAATTTATGTATTTATATTTTTAATTATATATGCATGTATATAATTTATTTAATTATATATAAATAATTATTTCTAATATTTTAATTATAAAGATACATGTATGTAGTATTTTAATTATATATATGTATATAATATATTTAATTGTATATATATATATTTAATTATATATATATTATATATAGATATATTTAACTGAGTATATTTATATATTTTTATATTTAACACAGCATATTTTTTTAATTTTTTTATTATTATATATAAGTAAGTATTGTATATAATTATAAATAGAAAATTTACTCAAATAGATAATTTATTTAAATATATAATTATATTATATTGTCAAATCAAATAAAAACAGCTGTCATTATCAGACATTAATAGACCATCATTCAAACATAATTAAATTTGAACATTAATGAATCTTTCTCGTACCAACCATACCTAACATTAATAAATCATTATACAATTCATCTAATTATTCCGTTAGACTCCACTATGGCTTTCGGTTGGTAGGCGGCTTTGTCTTTATCCTAAATATATTCACCTTCGCAAGGCCCGTAAGCCCAACTACATATTAAATAATAGAAGAAATTAATCCCAGACAAAACTGTGAGGACCCAATAATAATAGTCATAGTGACCCTGATTAAGGTTGTTTGATACCCAACTAGGGTTATGGGTCACATGATTTATAACCCCAACAATGAGGCTACCCACAAGTTTGCCTATAGCCATACTCACTAAAAAAAGGGTCACTGCAATGCTTGACATGCTTTTAGGAAACTGAGAGTAGTAGAATTCCACTTGTCCAATTGCGTTGAAAGCCTCTGCCAACCCAATGAGACAAATATGGGGCACTAGCCACATTGCCGACATGTTGACAAGGCCTAGGGGATTGTCTGCTAATCCTTGTTTGAGTGCGGCGGCACGGCGGTTCTTCTCCACCAGTGCGGCCGTTGAAGTGCTGAGACAGGAGATGAGCAGGCCAATTCCCATGCGTTGTTTGAAGCTGGTCCTCGCGGCCTTTTCGTGAATTTTGATATGAAGGGGGCGAGGATCCTGTCGTAGATGGCTAACCAGATCGTTAACGTGATCGTTGCAAAGAGAGAGAAGGAGCCAGCGGGAATCTTGAAGCCGGCAACCAAGTGCCTGTCCATGGTGGTGGCTTGGAGAACTGCAAAGGAGTGTTGACTTATGGTTGCGGCGATCATTATCCCAGTTGACCAAATAGGAAGAACTTTGATTAGTGCTTTTAACTCCTCTACTTGTTTCATCGAACACAGACTCCATTGATTGATAGCAAACCCATCTGCGTCCAAGTCCTTTTCAGGGTTCTTAATGATGCAAGCTTTGTTTAGAAACCTAAAAAAAATAATCACAACTTGTATTAAGTGGATTTTGAAACGTGTTACTAAAATAATGAATGTATTTGGTGGAGTAGAGACAAAAAAAAGGAGGTCGATAATGGCTATGAAGTTGAGTAATTCTGTACCTGAGCTTGTCTGATGGCACTAGAAGATTAATGGAGTCTCCCCGATAGTAGCATATTCCATCAGAAATGGTGGGAGGCAAAGCTAAGTGTCTGTTCTTCCAGGCGGCGGAAATGACCTGGACAAATCCCGTGAATAAACTCCTGTTAGGCTTCACTTTGACATATAGTGAAGAACCCAGTAAGAACATGGCGACCGACAAGAACATGAGCACAACAGGGACCCCAAATCCAACAGCCCAACCAGCTTTGTCCTGGATGTAAACTATGACAGTGACTGAAATCATTACAGAGGCGCCAAGAGAAGCGAAGTACCAGTTGAAGAAGCTCTGGAAGATTCTGGCGTTGTTGGGGTTTGCAGGCTTGTCGAGTTGATCTGCTCCGAATGCCATAGAACAGGGTCTGACACCTCCAGCTCCGAAGGCTATCAGACCAAACGATAAAGAGAGAAGAGCAAGCTGCGCTGGTACTGCGGATTGCAAATTTCCTGCAGTCCGAAGTCGCAGTAAGGAGGCCTTGCTTCTGGAATAACTGCTGTTAGAAACAATGTACTCATTCCCTGCAGCAATTAATTTTGTTGAGTATAAAAAGTGATTAACTGAGAGAGGGAGATAAGAGTGGATATACCATGAAAGTAAGGAGACTTGCGAGAGCGATGACAGGAAAGCGGCCCAAATAAGAATCGGAAAGGAAGGCACCAAGAATGGGCGTTAAATTTGAAATAGCCGACCACACAAACAACACGTTAGCCCCTGCTGCATTACTCAAATGATATTCATTTTTCAGGTACAATATCATATTTGCCTGAAGCCCAAGGCTCGCCACCTTCTCAAATGTCTCATTTACTGCACCAAGCATCCATATATGTATAAGATTCTGTTACTATTCGCATATATGTTTGTGTGTGTACATATATATATTACCTATGATGAAGGGCATGGTTCTGAGGCCACCCTTCTTCTTGCTTGAAGATTGCTGATCATCGGTCTTGGTAGGATCAGTCTCCATAATTTCAGTGGAAACCAATGGGTCTGAAAACAAACTGGGAAAGGAACAAATATATGCTTACAGCTTGCTGAGTTTACATCTAAGATTCTAACCAGGCGGTTCTCCTACTATATTATTACTATATGCATATACTTATTGTCATGATAAATAACTAGGTAATTATATATTTTTTTTGGAATCAGTTAATTATACCTGTTTGATGCCAACAAGAAGGGAACCTCCTCGCTCTTGCTCTCTAGATGATTCAACGCCATAATCATGATGATTATGGTGCAGCGGCCACTGGCCACGCAATATAGGATGGCAGCTTTTGAACACATGTTTTTCATTCGTCATTCACATTTCAAATAAATATAATTAATTAATTAATTATTATACTTTAACTACGAGCTGAATAGGTATATATGTTTGTGTATGTATTTATACATATATTATTTCACTGATATGAAGGTCTCCAAATATCATATTATTTTTAATTAGTTAATCCAAAGGGTACATGATTGATCTGTGGTGTTCAAAGTCAGAACTTTTGGTCTACGGAATCTTTTGAATTAAATCCCCCCAAACGAATAAAAGCCAGCAGAGGTGGAATGCCCATACATGATATATGTAGGTTATTTAATTCCGGTGGTCCTTAAGTCATTATCAAATTACTTTCTTTCTAATAAACTAATTGATATTTTATAGCTCAACGTATTAAAGTATATGTACGATTAATCATAATTAGACATAAAATTCTTGATTAGTGTAGTGTAGGAAGCACTGATGTGGTTCTGATCATGGTGGAGGATGCATGATCCAAAGAAGATAACCCATGAAGGGTTGTCCAAAAGCCCACGAGATCCTGGTACATGTACATATATATATATATATTATATAGCGGAGAAATTAATTTTTAAACCATACACAATTACAATAAAATAGAAAAAATTATAAGATTTAACGTAATTCAACAGTATGACTATATTTATGAGTAAAACTAATAATAAATTTTTCTACTACGATAAAAAGAAAGTACATCACTAATAGAATTATATACAATTATATAGAGAGATTACGAAAGTTTTATTCTCACAGAACTCTTCAGAATATATATCAAATGATTTTTCAAGATAAATACAAAATATTTCCTTAAGATAAATACAAATCCTCCAAAATAAATATAAAATATCCCAATGGTCAAATATGATATCCCTATAATCACGCCACATTAACAAATCTTCTTCTCGACTTGAATTCTCTCCATCATAAAAGAAGCTGACTGTTTCGTCACACCATCTTGCTAACATGCTCTCAGAAGAGCACTATTGAGTATCACATAATGGAACCAAGTTTATATCGTGCCTAAACTTGTTACCTAACCCCAAATGAAGTAATATCTGCCATCAAATTCTTCACACATAGAACCGACCCCCTGATCTGCTATGAACTTCATGGTTCATGCAAATCAAATGTCTTTGCAACTAACAATACATATGTCTAAAATAATAAACAAGTTGAGCAAATTAGAGAGGATTGATTGGAAGTTTTTCTATATATTCTTTATTGAGAGGAGAGGAATATATATATATATATATATAGCAGAATATACACCATCTTGGCTACTTATGTCTAAAGCTATGAAATCGTAATCCTTAATAAGTGAGATTTAACATAAATCAATACAGGAAAGTAAATATATATAGAATATGAAAGATATACAAAAATAAAAAGCATATATTACAAGATATTTCTTAATACTCCCCCTCATGTTGGAGAGTGAATATCATGAAGTCCCAACTTACTACAGAGCGTCAAAAAATAGTCTTTTCCTAAAGCTTTTGTGAATACATCTACTAACTGTAATTGCGTTGAAATATTAGAAGGGTTTATCATTCCAGCTTGTAATTTTTTCTGAACAATGTGACGATCTATCTCAATATATTTCGTACATTCATGAAAGATGAAATTTTCAACAATGTGTAGGGCTGCTTGATTATCACAAAATAATGGTGTAGGAGTTGCTTATAAAAATTTCAAATCTTATAGTATGTAGCACAATCAAGTCAACTCTAAACATGTATTGGTCATGGCTCGATATTCGATTTTTACTGATGATCTAGAGATATTAGCTTATTTCTTGGATTTTCATGAGATGAGAGAGTCTCCAAGGAAAATGCAGTACCCAATAACGGACTTTCTTGTGGCATGACAACCTCTCAAATATGAATTACAATAGGCTTTCAAATCAAGATTATTAGCGGATGGAAACAATAATCATTGACTAGGAGTACCTTTGATATATCTAAAACTCCGTATAACAGCATCCCAATGAGGTCTTCGAGGTTCATGCACAAACTGGCTTAGTGTTTGAACTGAGTAAACTATGTCTAGTCTTGTGACTGTGAGATAAATTAGTCTACCAATGAGTCTTCTATATTTAGTTGGATCATTTAATAGCATTTCATATGTAGGAGTGAGTTTCAAATTTTGTTCCATTGGAAACTTGCCTGGGCGTGCACCTAAAAATCCAGAATCTTGCAAAATATTTAAAGCATATTTTTTTTGAGACATGAAAATATCTTTCTTAAAGCATGAAAACTCAATACCCAAAAAATATTTTAGGTCTCTAAGATCTTTTATGCAGAAGCGTTGCAAAAGAAAATCTTTAAGGTGTTTCATCTCTTGAAGGTCATTTACTGTGAGAAGTATGTCATCGATGTAAATAAGGACTGTTGTGAATAAAGAACCTTCGACTTTAGTGAAAAGTGAATAATAAGCTTTTGATTGTTCGTAACCAGCCTTTTGAATACTATCTAAAAACATGAAAAACCAGTTTCTTGATGCTTGCTTAAGTCTATAAAGTGACTTATTGAGCGGACACACAATGTTCTCCCCCTATCGACGAATAGCAGGTGGAGTTTTCATGTACACTACCTCGTGTAAATCACCATGGAGAAAAATATTTTGTACATGTAGTTGATATATGAACCAATTGTGAGCAACCACAACAGTAAGAAGACAACGTAAGGTGGTGAGTTTGGCAGTAGGAGAAAAGGTTTCTTGGTAATCAATACCTTCAACTTGAGTGTAACTTTTAGCTCCAAGTTGCGCTTTATAATGCTTAATGGTGCCATCGTATTTGTATTTTATTTTATATACCTATTTGTAACCGATGGGGTTATGACTAGTAAGAAGAGGAACTAAACTCCATGTGTTATTTTGTTGCAAAGTTTCTAACTCTGTATTCATAGCGTGTTGCCAATGTGGGTCAAGGATAGCTTGAGCATAAGATTGAGGTTCTTTATGACCTATAATGTCAGCTAAAAAAACATAATGGGTAGTATAAATGTGAGAATATGAAAGAAAATGATAGAGAGGATACCGAGTATTGAATTTGAAATTTGGTGCCGAGGTAAAGTGATTGACTAGAGCTGACAATATGTAGTCTTTATGCTATGTTAGAGGTTGTCGAAGGCAAGTGGATTAACGAATAGAGATGGAAGTTGAAAGATCTAAGTTGATAAGAGGAGATAGAGATGGTTCATCTTGAGTTGACGAAGTAGGGGATGAGGAAGTGTCTGTGGTAGTGGGAGCGAGTTTGAGAGATGAGAATTGTTAACCATTAGACATATCGTTCTGTTGGGGTGGGGTGGAGGTGTCTCGTGATGGAGACCAATTGTTTGAATAGGCAAAGGAAGGATCAGGTAACACAAAACTAGAAAATGGAGTAGTCAAAACTGAAGGGAAAGTGGTTTCACAAAATTTGACGTCACGACTAACAAAAACATTTTTATTCTTTAAATCATAAAATTTATAACCCTTTTGACCAGTAGAGTATCCAACAAAAATATATTTTTTAGCACGTGGTTCAAACTTGTGTGTATGATGAACAATAGTGGCATAACACATGCAACCAAATATTATCAAGTGACCAAATGATGGTGGACGTTTGTATAATAATTCAAAAGGTGATTTGTTGGATAACAATGGTGATGGTAATTGATTTATAAAATAAACATCAGTTAATACAAATTACTCCAAAAATTAAGAAGTAGTTGAGACTGAAATAGTAATGTACGGGCTACCTGTAAAATATGGTGATGTTTGCGTTCAACAACTCCATTTTGTTGTAGAGTGTAGACACAAGTGCGCTGGTATTCAATACCTTTAGATTGAAAAAATCTCTTATTGATATGAACTCAGAACCATTATCTACCTTGATAGCTTTTATAGTTGCATGAAATTGAGTATGGGCAAAGGTAATAAAAGATTTTAAAATACTTTGAGTTTTAGATTTAAATTGCATAAGAAATATTCATGCGCATCTTGTAAAATCATTAACAATAGTAAGAAAATAACATGCACTTGAATATGTAGGAATTTTGTGGGGACCCCAAATATCACAATATAATAATTCAAAAGGAGCATGAGTTGATATAGAACTTAAAGGGAAAGGAAGTCTGGTCTGTTTAGCCATAGGATAAACATTACAATTATTATCCAAAGAAATATTGTTAGTAGGCAATAAAGAAGAAACTAACTTAAGGCAAAGTGGTGATGGATGTCCAAGGTGCATGTGTCATACGTTTTGTGAATGGGAAACTTGGTGAGAGACTGGTGTTCTTTGTATTAGAGACATGTAGTAAAGACCATCATGTTGCTGACTCGAGCCAATCATCTTCCCCGTAGCCAAGTCCTGTAGAACACAAAATGTGGGAAAGAAAATAACACAATAGTTTAAAGCAGTGGTAAGTTTACTAACTGATATTAAGTTTAATCGAAAAGAAGGAACACACAAAACATTATCTAAATTGATATATGGAGTGAATGATATCATTCCTGTAGAAGTAATTAAGGTAGAAGATCCTGTGGGTAAATTGACAATAGATATTGGTGACCATTTTGTATGAGTGAAAAGTAAGGAATCTGAAGTGATATGGTTAATAGCTCCACTATCCAAAATCCAAGGTTTAGTGAATACAAAATTGATTGAGATATTAGAAAAAGGAGACAAACATGTAGTATTTGCATAAGCATTATTATTGCCAGAAACATATTTGTAGACATCATAGAGAAGGCATGAGCTAGTTACTAAATTTGATATGCTGAAAAACCATGTGTGGGATTGAGTTGGTTGGAGAGTTGATTTGGTTTATTGATATCCTGTGAATGAGTGCCTTGCACAAACTAAGAATAGTTTGCCATATTGACACTAGAGAAGGATTTGGGTGCAGTTCCTCTTGATCCATGTTG